CTATATGTTCCGGACAGCTCGCGTTAGGTTTAAAGCATAGTAATATTATTGAGAGCATATAAATAAATAAATATTCATTATACTTAAAACATTAGAAATGCGTTGTACGGCCATAAATTGTAACACTAAATAGACCCTTTGTTTTATATCCACTTTAGAAAGGTACAATTTATTGACTGCGTTATTGGATAAGTTACGTTAGTTTAAGCGTTGACAAACGTAAGAAATCGTCACGCATTAGTTTAAGTATTTGCTCTGAAACAATAAAGTGTTTGTTTCCCATGAATCCGACGCCACGCTACACTCAATACCTGCACCCATTTCTCTCTCTTGACTGGAATAATGTACCATAAAAGAGGGCTCTGGGAGCGGCCAAACTAGTTCGCTTCTAACTCGACACGGCACGCATCGCGAGTACTTTGCCCATGAGACGCCGCTCCTCTCACGGTTCGCGTCGCAAGTACTTCGCATTGTATTGATAGATAGTTAACGCGGCCGTTTAGACTTTTCGTTTCCATACTTTGTGCGCACGATAAAGGCGCGTAGCAGTAGCGTGGCAATCGGATGTCGTGGCATAGCGACATATTCGTTAGCGGCAACGTACTGGTAGTTTTATTTCCAAACCATCAAGACAACCGGTTATAATATAGTTTAGTGTACGCTATACAGTCCCGTACACTATAAATCATTACAAATACAAAAGGTTAAATTAATTAGGCGAGATTCGAACTCAGGGCCCAAAACGAAATCCCATATATTCCCGAACTTGATTTTTTTTTGAATTTATTCCACACATAGCATTATATAAGTAAAAACTATTTAGATAAAAAATTTACACAGGCGGGCTTTGAAGCGTAATCCACGGCGTTCCGTAGTTGAAAAAATTCGATGAAGTGTAGGACACGATAAATCAATTGGTTAGACTTTAGAACAACATCACGGAACGCTGAGCTGTACCCTCAGCGACAGTAAGTAATATAGGCATGACTTAAACCTGTACCCTCAGTATTATTATTATTTTTTAATTTATAATCAATTTTTTATTTATATTGTCGCTGTTTTGTATAATTACGTGTCTGACACACTGTTCACTTGCAATGTTAATTCACTGTGGCAACGGCTAACATTCCCGCATTCAATTTTGTTCCCTCATGTGTACAGCCTTAATTAAACATTAAGCTGATGATTTAAAGCGCCACCTACTGGCAAATACCGCGACTGTAATCAGTTTTGTACGAGCCGTTACGAACATGCTGAAGATTAAATTCGCGTTGTGATTTCGTTTTGGCATTTGAGCGGGACTGTACCTTGTTTAATGTGCAGTTTTCGTTTAATTTTTTAGTTGAAAGTGACAAAGTATATAAACTACATTTATAATACATAAAAAATATTTTCGCATCAAACGAGGGAAACCATTACCAAAAAAAAAAAAAAATAGAATTGATGTCAACTTTTGTCATTAGTTTTGTATACATATATTAAATAATATGAATTTGGCGCTTATATTCCAATATTTACTAAATAATTATCCCTTGTGTATATTACCAACTGTTTTTCATTATTTACTAGCGACCCGCCCCGGCTTTGCTCGGGTGCAAAGCTGATACTAAATACACTACAGAAAAACTGTAAACGTAGTATACAAAACCCTTCTCTTGAATTGCTCTATCTATTAAGAAAACGCATTAATATCCTTGGCATAGTTTTAAATATTTAAGCGTAGCATAGGGACAGAAGAGGCGGCTTTGTATACTATGTGTTGATTATAAAGTACATACTATCACATATATGTGATAAGGGCCGATACATCAACATGTGTAAGCCATCGCACTGGGAACATAGTCTGAAATAAAACTTTTTCCCGTACAAACTGCACGGTGCACAATTTGGCAAAGTTAATGACATTTGCTTGCGATTGTACCGTGACAAACGACTTATGCATTTGAGTTAACTAGTGGACTGCGGAGTGCGGAGTCTGACCATCCATCATTGTTGAGCGAAACGAAACATACTGTAGATACAACTCCGTCTGCTCGATTAATCAACCTGTATTTTAAGGCGGGTTACACAAGAGTTTAGCCCTAGCCTTTATTTTTAATTCCCCATAAATTTCAAGGAGTTTCAAAATCATATAGAAAAATAATTATCGTGTCCCCCACCCATTTCTGTAATAATTTTATTTATAGGTAAATAATTGATTAGGAGTGTCCTGCTACGACTGAAATAAATTTTAGTCTTCGTAGAATTCAAATCTAGGACCTTTCGTGCTTCTTGCGGTTTTAAAATATATTGTATATTGGGACCAATTTTTTGCAGTATACGAATTATAAGCTTTTATAGTGAAATGAAGTGTTTTAGTTTTAAAAGTGTAATTAACAGAAGAGCATTACTTACTGTTTGCAGTTTACGCGAGTAGTACACATTTAAATACACTTTAATGGTTTAAAACGCGATATATTAGTTAAACTTATTTGAAAATGATTTTTAACTTCGGCCCGACGTTTCGGATGCTTTGCAGCAGCTTTGGTCACGGGGAGACTAAAGATGGAGGATGTCTCTGACGTCAAAGTAAAAAATTGCAATGCTAGCGCCATCTGTTCCGTCGAAGTTGGTATTTGGCGAAACTGGCCGGATGAAATATGCAAAGCTCGGCATAGGTCGACGCGCACCTTGCTCAAATGTCATACGGCTGGGATATATTAATCATCTTAAACCTGTGGGGAATCGAACTCACGACACTTTAATTTACCTATTAGCATATATGGGACTAATAAGTCCAATTAAATAGTAACTGCTTATAATTCAAGATATTGTAACAGTTAAAAATAAAACGCTTCGTTTGTAATCCGCCTTAATATCCTCGTAAATACTAAATTCGATTAAGTTTGTGTTTCCAGCATAGATGTGTTTTTGTTAGCTTCCGAACTTACCGCTTCTCGTTTCTCTTCGGGCAAATTCTAACTTAACAAAACAACGTCCACGCTAATACGCAAATGTGCTTACGTATTCTCTGTTCCACAATAACAAAGCAGTCACAAATACGTGTCTGTCCCAAATTTAAAAAGCGGGCTTTAACATTGCAAATAAAACATTTTAAACCGCGATTTTATATTGACGCCAGAGTCTTTAGTCTTCCCGTGACTACGGCTGCTGTAAAGCATCCGAAACGTCGGGCCGTAGTTAAAATAATTTTTACTAATATGTATCGCGTTTTAAACCGTTTAAGTGTTTTATTTAAATTATAACTATTGTAGTTTTTTTTTTATAAAATTCAATCAGCATTACCATTATTCGTTAAAAAATCGTTGGAACCTAAATGATTGTCAAAGAGGGATCGTGAGTTCAAATCGTACCTGTCTTAATTTTTCCTTTAATTAAAAAAATATTGTTCGTTAAATACTGTCCATTGTTTACGCGAGTAGTACACATTTAAATAAAAAACTTTAACGGTTTAAAACATCGGAAGCTGCAAGGCATCCGAAACGTCGGGCCGTAGTTAAATTAATTTTCAAATAAGTTCAAACAAATCTATTGTTCGCGTTCGCGTTTCGCGTTTTATAATATTATATTATTACCTATTTCTAACTTCAACGCCGACTATATTATGTGATCTAGTGAAATATATTTTCGTTAAATTATCTCGTTTACGTTGCCGGTCGATTGAATAAACGATCGCTAAGTTAAAGAAGAATGTAAGTTTAACAAACTCATAATAGTGTGACCTGCTACGGGAAAGATAACTATAATTTTTTAGTGTTGCCATCAATTTTTATTTCGAGGGATTTATCCAAATCGAGAAGTTATGACTGATATTACGTTTTATAATCAGGGTTAATGTTTTGAATAGATAACGTTTATTTTTTGCTGTATTTTAAGCTTGGTGTATAATGCCACTAGCTTTTAAAACCATCTTATAACTAAGCCAACAAAGCAAAGGTAAATGAATTCTACGGTAAAAAAGCGAATGAATGTCCCGGGCCAAAATACATCATAATCAATAAAAAAACTGCTTTATCCTAAGCTAGTTGGAAGTAAAAACCTTTTGCATCCGACTATACACACCTCAAGCACGTCTCTATGTGGCGTTATAATTATGAAATGATCGCCTAGTGGTACATATTCTAATTATAGAGGCGTGGTCTGCACTGGCAAGGTGTCAAGTGCCTCCGGTGAAAGTGTGAACAGCCCTTTAGTTGAGTACAACTGTTGCATAGTATCATTATGTACTTTCTTTAATTGTGCCCTGGCCCTCGAGGCGGTAATTAATAATTCAGTTGGCAACCCTGTTTCACGTGCTCGTTAGTGCATAGTTAACTTGGTTCTAACTTCTATGTAAATAACTAGGTGCGCGGCTAGTGTTGCATCAGATGTACATATATCTAAAATTGGTCTAAATTACTCACAAAGATAGAAGTATTTCTATCTCTAGTCTATCAGAGGTCTGTCTCGGGGATTTGAACCTAGGAACATTCGATTGTAACGAATGCTTGGCAACTTTGATATATTAGATTACCGTGTACCCAAGGCAACTCACTACTAACAAATATTTTAAAAGTTTGTGTCGCGTTTAATCCCTTTTAGATCTAGCTTAACATGCTAGTCTGTCGCAGTGTGCGGAACATAACCACGGATAAAACGAAACGTGTTTTAATCTCTTCATAACGAAAAATAAATGCGTTTTCCACGAAATCGTATAACGTAGATTGCGCAATTACTGAGCTCATTCATTATTACGTTGTCACACTCAATAACGACAGTTGAAATGGGCCATTTAATAAAATATACGCGCTCTATTTACATTATTATTACTTTACCGCGAGCGGAATGCGGTTGCCATGGCAACTGCAGACCTGTCATTATGAATAACGGCAAGCGACGTTGCCGCGACGCTGGGCAATGTGATTAATCGACCCGCGCGGGCGAGGGGGAGGGAGGGAGGCGGGGACGCGTCAGTCGGCGTCCTGCTTTATTCGAGGAATCACGTCGTCCGAGTGTTCGCGATGGACGCGACAGAGCAAAAATGTAAAGAGCGCTTCGAGGCCCGTCTGCGAGATCTACTATCGACGAAAGGTCAGAACAGCCATTTATTCACTAAAAAACACTATCTCGAAACCATTGAGAAGGTGAAGGCGTCGAAAAAAAAGACGACAGGTAAAAAACCTGAGGACTATCAACGTTTGAAACGATACGACGTTCTAACGATTGGAAACATCGAGAAGTTAATAGTACCGGTCAAGCAGACAGATTTGATCAAGTTTTACGTCCACACCGAGGAGCTGTTCGATATCATTCATGAACAGCACAAAATTATGGGACACGTCGGACGAACTAAGATGGGGGCGGAACTTAACTTGCGCTTTAAGAACGTAACGCGCGAAATGATATCTCTCTATCTGAGTGTGTGTCCGCAATGCGAGAAAAAAACAACCAAATGTACTAAGCCTCCTGCGCAAGAGTGCTTCAGCAAAGGTCATATTGATATTATCAGTATGGAAACAGACAATGAGTACAAATACATTCTAGTATATCAAGATTTTGAGACGTCCTTCGTTCAACTCCGTTCATTAAAAACTGAAAACGTTGAAGAAATAGCTAATATATTATTGGATATCTTCACCACATTTGGTGCTCCGTGCGTCCTTACAAATAGCAGAAGCAGGGAGTCTTTGGCAGAGAGCGTAGTAAAACACCTTCATGTAATGTGGCCGCAAGTAAAAATGGTGCACGGATTGGCGAATCACGCGCAGGACCTTACTGACGACATTAAGCAAAAACTGAATACTTGGTTAGCGGGGCATTCTGGAAAATGGACAGAGGGCCTTCGGTTTGTACAGTTCATGATGAATTCAGAGGTCGAGTCAGGACAGAGTGCCTTTGAAGCGTTATTCGGAATCAAAGCTCAGATGGGATTGACGTCTGTGCTCCCTGAAGATATTCTGCCGAGCGTCAATTCAGAAGAAGACTTAGAAACGTATCTTACATCCGGTGAAGTCCCTGTAGCAGTCAACATAGAGAACGATAGTGCACAGTCGGATATAATGAAGTTCGAAGACCAGGAAAATGCGTTGGCCGGCACCAGTCAAGACGAGTTGAACTTCGATATGGAAATCAAGATAGAGGATTCTTTGATACTGAAAATGGACCACGACGCTTTAGAATTATAAGCATAGTTTTGAGATTGTGCCATTGAATGTCTATGTATTAAATAATTAAATTAAAATAAGTAAAAGTACCCAGGGTTATTTTCTCACGAAAGGTAATAATAGTTAGTGCATACTTTATGTGTGTACGTAATACGTTCATAAGTACAAGGTACTAAAGGTAGAATAAATATAGTTACATACTGAATTTTCTTACAGTCTTAGAGATGATTTCACCATATGTTTTAGAATTTTTTTTATCGTATAATAATTTTACTAAAACCTTCCATTGACTCTCCACATTTTAGGAGGCGGACAATGAGCCGGCATCTACAGCGTTCCGTGCTAAAATGCAATCATGTGAAAAATATTTATGTTTTTTAATATATTTTTTACTTATAATTACATCTTGTTTTTTATATATGATACTTACTGAGCAGTAAGATTAATTAGGGCAAACGTTGCCCTGTTTTTTCAAACATTCGACAATTTGAAGTTTTTAAACGACTAACTTTCACACGAATTCACCTATTACCAAAAAATAAATCGTGTTATATGCAAGGAAACGTGTCATATGGTTAGTGCGGTTGCATGAAATGCACGTGTGTTTATTCCAGTTCTGGAGATCGTTAGGCTTGCACTTCAGACTGAAACAAGCTAAGTCCCTTGAGGAATGCTTGAATGAGGCTCGGGGGCGATTCACCCGTAATCGATATGATGTCTATCCTAATTACCTTACATGAATCCTACGTAGAGAAGACAATTGAATATTCGCTTAAAGGTTCTATAGATTATAAATATAAAATGTAATCGTTGACAATTGGACGAAAATTATTTGGTTGTCTCTATATTTTCATGCTCTGTAATTCAATGGTTACACAGGCACAGGCAGTCTTAGGTTTGTATCCTGAATTCTTTGTTTGGGAAAACAATAATTCGCTTAGAGCAGAGTGCAAAAGTTTGATCAAGGATTTGCCTGTAAATGAAATCAATCGGTGAAACAGACACAGAAATGTATCTGCCCCATTCATTTTCCGCGTGTGCCCGATACAGGCAAACGGAATTCATTTTTACTACTTACAATTTTTAACTACATACAAGTAACAAATACAAGCGTCTATTCTATGATTTGAGCAATAATATGTGCGATAAAATATCGATAGCTCTGATAATACCACCCCTGGCCTCATTCATACCTCGAAGCAGTAATGAGATACGCGCAATGTGTGATTTCGTTGGGACTTGTCTCCTACGCTCTTTGAAGGACTTAGCGAAAACCTTCGTCTTAGAGCGAATCATAGCTTTGACAATACAAACATAATAAGTATATAACGTATAATTAAATTAATGTTATTCATTTTTGAGTCAATGTTAACAATAACAATGTTAAACTTTTTGTGTGATCTATGGCTACGATAACCTTCGCTGTAATAAACTATATGGTAGTCTGTCCAAGACTGTCGTCACTGTGAAGCTACCATTGAAACTCGATCAAAATCCAATTAATGGTTTTGGTGTTAAAGAATAAAAAACATACATACTAACAAATCTTCGCATATATAATATTGGTATATAAACTACACATACTGGGAATAAATTTTTTTTTCTGTGTCACTAATCTTTTAATACCTTCACTACAGTCACTTTGCCTGTATTACAAAAATGCCATACAAACTTTCTTTGGAACATTAAAGAAGTAATCTGTCAAATCAAAGTGTAGTTTTTCACAAAAGGTCGGCGATGTGCCGCCTGCACATGTGTGCAGAGATTCCTACGCGCTTAAAATATTACTCGACCTCAAATAATGTCCTTGCGAGTCATAAGCTTACGCCGGGTAAAACAAAATAAATATTTTCTATAAAAAGAATCGTATCATAAAACAATAAATAAATACATTTTTTGTAGGAAATGTCGTAGCGGATTTTAGTTAGGTCAGTTAGACAATGTTTGTTTAGATGAGATTTAAAGGCTTATCATTAAAAAAATATATAATTCGTTAAGTTTGCAATTGAAAAACGTACATCAAAAAAAAAAATAAGCAAGTAGATAATACACAAGTCCGGTCGTACTTATAATAAATTTAAAAAACCGTTACCTAATCGCATTTAAAACTTAGGTAAGAAGCAAGGATAGTGATGACGTGTTCAAAACATCTCTTTCGCAATAATCTCGTGACATGGACCGAAAGTGGCGAGTCACGTGACCCCCGCGCCCGAGGGAAATCTCTGCGTCTGAGGCGGAGGGTGGGATTGCGGCCCTAAGTACGTGAATTCGATGCCGCGTTCGTGCATTTTACATAATCACTTGCGTGTCCTTCCTAATGGTATTGCTTTGTTTTTGTCACGCATTATTTGATTTATTCCTTCGTTCTCTTTACGTTAATTACAGCTAAGTTGGCTTATGGTGCATAAGATAAGGGAGTATATAATATGTTGCTTAGTTAGTTAGAATCTTTTAAAAAATATAATAATTATGATAGTCTACGATAGACAAGCATAAATACACAATATAGGATTTCTTAAATACTTCAATTAGGTATCTTGAAATTAAATGTACGGATAGACGAATATTGGTAATTTGTTGTTTTCTTCTTACAAGAAAAAACAACAAATTATCAAATTTTGTAGTATATTTTATTTTATATACATACCTAACGAACCATTTTTCAAAGTTAAATAGCAAACAGAATCACTATTCGGTATCCGGCCGGATAGTAAAATAATGGCCGAATAGGCCGGATACCGAATAGTAACCGGATAGCCGTTGCATCTCTCATACAGGCTTAATATTTGTAATCCACGACCGACCAAAACGCGATCCTATGTACACGGTTTTAGCTTGGCACCTGTGGATGCTGGTTCGTGAACCTCGGACGTAATTTTTTTACTATAGCAATTTGATTAGAGTTCCAGGCAATCTTCTTTTTTTATTTGACCAATTTAAGAAGTTCGTAGATTTGATGAGGGACTGCCAGCATCTGATAAGACGTCCAGCGCAGTACGGCGTAGTATATCAGTTAGGCCGGAGACAAGCCGTAGCCCACAACATGTATTCAATTATCCAGAGCCATAATCCAGGTTTATCTCGAATCTATCGCAATTAATCGCATAATTACTACACGACGCAATCAATTCCCGACATTATTGTTCGATAACTCCTTTGCAATACCTAAAACTACCTTTGCAACATAACGCTCAATGGAATGACAAATGATAGAAAATACTGTGTAAAAGGATAAGAAAACTAAAGATTCATCTAGATTGGCGATAATACCGCAAAATTCCACTTATGGTTTAGTGGGACCACAGACAGAGCATGACTTTCGTCGTCGTTTGTCGAAATCTAATTACTCTTTATATATTGAAACACGATGCACTGTCGACCTGCTTTACCTATGTACACCGATAAATCCACAGACGGACGAGCTTGGTCTAATGGTATCAATGTATGGCTAATAATTAACGGGGTTCGATTCTCACCAGGCCTCCTCAGGCAACACGTTTCTAGTCAATTTACAATTTTCCATAAACAATAATTTTCCCTTTATTTCCAGATTTCTCACGGTTTCGTCACAGCACGGTGTTTGATAGCATATAGTCTTCCTCGCAAAATGCTCTAACCGACACAAAAACCATTTTCAAATAGAACCAGTAGTACCTGAGATTAGCGCGTTCAAACAAACAAAATATTAGTATAGACTGACATATATATCATAATAGGTTAAATACTATACGAGACGATAGATAGTACATTGGTGTACATAGAAAACAAACAGCTTTATTAGCCCAGACGCTTCACAAAGATTACAAATCACACGATAATAATTATAATTACTTACGCTAAGACGTACCAAATCTCATTTCACGCTGGCGTGCGTCCCGTTTGCGCTGTTAATTGTGTTTCTGTCTCACACATACATACATACACGTCATATTAATTTTAATGTTAACTAAGTGCCGCGTGTTTACTTTGAGAGATACATCTATGTATGTACAAAAAGTAACTTAATGAATAGAAAAAATGCTGATAAACAATATAAAAGTACTGTTACAATGTTATAAGTAAAACTAACCTCAAGGGTAAAAATAGTAAAATTGTCTGTTGCCACTGTAGCAACAAATATAAACAAAGTATTATTTTTTTAAGGGCTATACAATAAATACCAATTTTAATAAATAATAATTGGTAGCTGATAGATACTTGAAACAATTAAAAAACATACAATTCGAAATGTTTATATCTAGACAACTGTACAGAACCCACATGGATTTATCAATTTCACATTTAATTTTATTAAGGGTTAGTACCTTCACGCAGAATACATAGCTATACCATTTAAAATGATAGTTAAACGTGACCAAAGTAAAAATGATTTGATTTGATTTAAATATTAATAAATTTAACTATTAATTTAATTCACAGCCATGTTAAAATTATATAGGAGACAAGAAAGCGACGAGAAGTCCTAATTAGTACGTTTCGTATACGTGAAAATTTATTTTCGTTCAGAATCTGGGTAATTAAGTTGCCTTTGGGATCTAAGGACATAATTAAGGACCGTAGGAGCGGCACAGAGATGGTATTTGGCTTGTGTCAGAGTGAGATGGCGTGTTTTAAGTTATTTTTAATGAACTGTCTGACAATTATGGTAAAATACTATTTTTTCGGTGCTGAAGCTAAATTGTTTTTGCACTTTTTAGCATTTGTGGTACCTGTCAGGCTATCAAGCATTTTCGTACTGATTTTTTACTACGTTGGTACTATTTTGATTGGTCAATGGCTACAATGTTTAGCTAATAGTCAACGGTTAGCGGGTTCGACTCCAGCAGGTTTTTAATTTATTAAAGTTTTTAGATTTCATTATAAATATTAAACGGGTGGTATAAATATAAACATTTCGTCCGCGCCAAAAATCATTCCGAATCATATTAGTTCGACGTCTTGTTGAGACGACGCTGGGATATTGCAGCCATCAAGTGAAGTGATTCCCATGCTGCTCTGTATTCCTATGGCGTGAAAAATAC